CATGAGACCTAGAGACAAGTCGTCTGTTGAGCCGTAATCGGAATATGCGGACGCTTAAACCATCTTTCAAAAGTCGAAAAAATGAAAAATCCTACAGCAACTGAACACCATTTCACCAAGTTCACATCGCTCTCCTTAAGTTGCATCGAGTTTATAGCAAAGGAACCAACCCACATCAAGTTGAAACTGAGAAAAAGAGATTTGATGTTTTACTTCTCCGTAAGACTCAATTTACCTAAAAAGTAAACTTTAACTCCTCTTTTCACAAACTAATTCTTTTTTTGGACTTGGAGTTTTTGGCAGAAAGAAATATACACTGGAAAAAAAAACACATTGAATCTCGAGTCCAGACTCTTGAAAATATTGACAAGAAAAAAGACTCTTGATTCAATCAGATTTAAGCTTCAATCAAATGGAAATCCGCTCAAATTAAGAGGCTTGGTTCTTGATTTAAGCTAGATTCTGATTGAATCAAGAGTATTTTTTCTTGTCGACGTTTTTAAGAGTCTGGACTCTAGATCCAATGTTTTTTTTTCCAGTGTACGTCTAATTGAACTCTAAAACGTTCCTAACTCAATTGTTTCGAAAAATTGGGTAGGTTCCTTTTTTGATGAATTCGGTCCAGTTATCCCTACAATCTCCTGACGAGGATTGAAGTGGCGACTGGAGTTGCTAATCCACCAGGTCGGACACGGACAGTCAGCGACGTCGCCGGGCGCTCGGATAAGGCGGACGATAATCTATTGCATCACCGTAATGAGCTTTTGGATCAAAAGCTGACTGCTCCACGCTCAGCGCCGCCCTCACAGGAAAACCGGAGCGGCAGTTACAAAACGCGGGCCACGAATCGCCCGGCCACCGTAACCCGACTTGAGACCTCAAACACACTCTTTCTTAAATGACAGCGAGGAGAGCAGTTAGTGCAAAAATGAAGTTCTGAGAAAACGGGCTCAGAAGCGTCTGACCGAAAAATTGTATGGAAAGAAGCCTCCGCTCTTTATCAAATTGCCATCGTCTGAAAGACTATTAGAAATCGGTTGGATGATTAAAAATAGGCCGATTTTATTTCAATTACAGAAAAAGGGTATTTTTCATTTTCATGTTAGGCTAGTTTTAGGTAAGATTGCCGTAAGTGCTATCTTAGGCATCTTTTTGTGGTTGGGTTTTGACCACAGGACGAACACATTTTCAGGTTAGAAATTTGCAGAAGACGGCAGCACAATACTTGAAAGCACTATTTTCATCGGCTCTCTGGAGGAATAATGTCACATACTGCTGTCTTGCCTGAAACTACGTCATTTTTCGTGCTCTTACGGCTTTTTCATTTGTCTCGTTTAGGTATAATTAAGATGAATTTTGCTGTTTTAGCTATTTTAGTAATTTCATTTTAAAGAGATTAGACGGATTTTGAAGGAAAATCGACTTCGAAAATTTGACATTTACTGCTCTCTTCGCTATCACGGCAGACTACAGGGGTGCCGAAACTTACTTTACCCTGGTAAATTCACCCAGCGGGCTGAGTTTTGAAATTGATAAACGCAGCGATAGACAAAGGAGACATAGGGATTATGGAGCGATCCTATTGGTTGAAATGGGTGGCTCTTATAGACTAAGGGAGAAAATGATGGATTAACCATCGGGTCTCTCGTGGATTGCCGTTAGTTAGTCTACTATCTACCTCCTTTGTCCATTGCAATCACCCGCTTCCAACAATAAGATCCCACCATATCTCTTTCGTCTTCTTTGTCTACAGTTTTGTCTATCAGTTTCAACCATCGACCTCTGAACGTCGTCACTCGGAGATTTTTCATAGTATATTGGTCTGTTTTATGGCCTGGTTACACGCTCAAACCGTCAAATTCCGTTCAAAATGATGACAAAGATGGCGGTGGAGAGTTATCTAGATTGATGAGTAAAATTAATTAAAACAGCGTGTTGATTGAAATAAGCATGGAATAAAGACGGTTGTGTGGAAATCAGATGAAGGATGAGCCCCACAGCTCATCAAAAACCTGTGCCGTCATGGGTAATGATTATCGGGTCATTTCGGGCGGACCCTACCTCCCTTTGAAACGAACCTTGCATTACGTCATGAAAATCACAAGAATGAGTAAATGCCCGACGAAACCGAAACGAATCCGAGCGAGCGGACGGCAAGTTTGAGTCGTCAACTTAAAAGTCAAAACGCGCGCGCCGGTCGTGTAACGAGTCGGGCCGTCGGTGAGGTTACGTCACGGTCATTCTCTTATGAAGTGGACGTCAACGTCAGCGTCTCGCCAAACACGGGAACGGGGAACGGCCGTCCCTCGTTCTTTCCTGTTTCCTGCTCGGACGGACCGCAACGGCGGCGACCGGGCCCGACCGGACGAAACCGGGCGCCAGATTAAGGCGCCAATCCCGGCCGGAAAGGAACCGAACCGCCTCCGCGCGGACCTGTCATCATCGCATCGAGCTTTTTTCCGCCTCCGATGACGGGGCGAGTTGTGATGGACGATGATGGTCTCGGTGGGCTGATTATTGAAATTGATAGAGAAAGAGATAGACATAGAACACTGGAAAAAAACACATTGGATCTAGAGTCCAGACTCTTAAAAAATCGACAAGAAAAAATACTCTTGATTCGATTAGATTTAAGCTCAAATCAAGAACCAAGCCTCTTAATTTGAGCGGATTTCCTTTTGATTTAAGCTTAAATCTGATTGAATCAAGAGTCCTTTTTCTTGTCAATGTTTTCAAGAGTCNTTTTTTTTTTTTTTTTTTTTTTTTTTTTTTTCCAGTCTTACATAAGGAACATGGAACGATCCTATCGATTGGAACGGGTGGCTGTCATCGACAGGGTGTCTACAAGTCCGGAAAATCCGGAAATAGTACTGATTTTTTAAGGAAGATCCGGAAGTACTGAAAAAGTGCGGAAATTCCGCAAGTAGGTCGGAAATTTGTATCGGTCATTTTTGTCGTTATTTGAGCGAGAAATTCAAATTGTTGAATTTTTTCGAATTTCGTCAAATGGAGGTACTGAAAAAGCACGGAATGTTTCTGTTAAGAGGGAATGAATTTCGTGGGAATGTACTGAAAAAGTACTGGAAAAGGACTGATTTTTGGCCAGCCTGTTTTAGTAGACACTCTGCATCGACTAAGGTAGAAAATGATGGACTAATTACAACTAGTCTCTCGTGCATGGATTGCCGTTAGTTAATTCTTGCTTCCCTTGTCCATTGCAACCACCCGCTTCCACCAATAGGATCGCGCTATTTTCCGTTTGTCTTCGGCGTGCAGCGCATTGTCTATAAATTTCAATAATCAGCCCGCGGGTGTGCGAAGCGAGGATTGGCCCCCTCAGCGGACTGATTATTGCAATTGATAGACAAAGCTATAGACAAAGAAGACATAAGGAGTATGGAGCGATCCTATTGGTTGAAATGGGTGGTTCCCATAGACAAAGGGAGAAAATGATAGACTAACTGTCGGGTCTCTCGTGGGTTGCCGTTAGTTAGTCTATCACCTACCTCCTTTGTCCATTGCAACCACCCGCTTCCACCAATAGAATCTCTCCATATCTCCTTTGTCTATAGTTTTGTCTATCAATTTCAATAATCGGCCCGCTGGGTAGATGGACACAATTCGTTACTATTCTGCTGAAGTTTGAAATTGGTTGACAAAGCGATGGATAAAAAGAAAAAGCCTACTGGTAGAGTGGGTGGTTTGAATGGACAAAGATGGCAAGTAATAGACTAACACACAGCAACCCATTAGAGACCCGATAGTTACTACATCATTTTTCCTCCCTAGGTTATAATAACTACCCGTTTCAACCAATCGGACCTCTCCATTTATCCATTTTCTTTTTTGTCTATTAATTCATCTGTCAAATTAAATAATCAGACCGCAGCAGTGTTACTGACTAGAGCTTAGGGTGTCATGAACTTCCTCTGAGTCTTCGAATAAGTAATTTTGAATGACTTTCGTGAACGATCTCGAAGACTTTAACGAGAGAGTAGGAAAATAGGCGAAATTCACACTGCAGGAATTTAGTTTGAAACACGCTTTTTCAAGTTTCCCGCGTCTTCAGGCAGATTTTTTTCAGTCCCCGCCGGCTAGGTTTGCTCAAGCAGAGGAGCAAAAAAATTTACCTTAGTAAACAAATGATTTCACTAACTTTATAAATTGTATGATTTCAATAATTTTCTGACTTTTATTTCCTTTTTTCTCTCTTTATTCAGCAAAAACAAAAGTTTTTAATTAATTGAAATTTTATGCAGGGAGAGTTTATAACAGTTCGTGAGATTGTTTGTTTCTTTCTGTTAGGTCTCTCTTCGAGCTAACCTGATTGCCCACTGCTAAAATAAACTGCCCGCATTCGCGGTAAATTTGAAAAAGTGTGTCACAAACTTCGCAGATTGCGCGCTAAGGAGTGAATTTTAGACTTTTTTAATGTACCCAACGTGATTTTCGAGCAAATTTTCCCTTTAAAAGTGTATTCAGTTGACTGTATCTCTTGCTTACAACAGACCCATTTATGATCGCTCCCTCAGGATTATACTGGAAAAAAACACATTGGATCTAGAGTCCAGACTCTTAAAAACATCGACAAGAAAAAGTTCTCTCGATTCAATCAGAATCTAGCTTAAATCAAGAACCAAGCCTCTTAATTTAAGCGGATTTCGTTTTGATTCAAGCAAAAATCCGATTGAATCAAGAGTATTTTTTCTTGTCAATGTTTTCAAGAGTCCAAACTCTAGATCCAATGTGTTTTTTTTTTCCAGTGTTACAAACCGTATTCAGTTGACTGTATCTCTTGCTAGCAACAGACCCAATTATGATCGCTCCCTCAGGATTAATCTCCATGATCAGGTGGAGTTCTGAGCAATTGGTCGTATTCGTTTAAGGGATGATCCGAAATGGTATTCTCTCTCTGAAATTATGGAATATTAGTTAACGACATGACTGAGTGCCTTTTTTTCTGTTTGATTAATAACTTTTTTGACTGTGGGTTGTTTCAGAATCAAATTCTGGAGCGAGTCAAGTCAGACCGGGTGACGGTGACGAAACCGGAGGAGGACCGACGGAGACGCACCATCATCGTCGAGAAGAAGAACGGATACTTCGGCTTCTCACTCCAGGTAAGCGCCAGCTCCCCAAAACCGCCGCGCTAAGCAAGAACGCCGTATGATCATTCAAATGTTGCCAAATTTCTTCTCAGAACAGAGGCAGATCCACAGTGCACTTGAAAAAAAAGCACATTGGATCTAGAGTCCAGACTCTTAAAAATATCGACAAGAAAAAGTACTCTTTATTCAATCATGATCTAGCTTGAATCAAGAGCCAAGCCTCTTAATTTAAGCGGATTTCGTTTCGATTCAAGCAAAAATCCGATTGAATCAAGAGTATATTTTTTCTTGTCAATGTTTTCAAGAGTCTGGACTCTAGATCCAATGTGGTTTTTTTTCCAGTGTGAGACGGAGGGGGGGGGCATTCGCTGATGTCGAGTGAGGGTTTAAAGGGGGAACGGTGGGTCGGGGAGCCTCCAGCCGCCCCCGGAAAATTTTAGAAAAATAGCCCAGATTGAATTATAAGCAGTTTTAGCGTATAATTTGTGCATTATTTGAAAGTTAAAAATTGACAAATAATGTCTCTTTCAGCGTAATTTTATTTTAGTATATGGATTAGGTATTTATTTCTGCGGCCAGGGTGTCTACAAGTCTGGAATCTCCGGAAATAGTACTGATTTTTTAAAGGTGGTACGGAAATACTGAAAAAGTGCGGAAATTCCGCAAGAAGCTCCGGAATTTTTTCCAGTTTATTGTCATTTTGTCGCACTTGGAGCGAGAAATTCAAATTTTGGAATCTTTCGATTTCCGTCAAATGGAGGCACTGAAAAAGTACTGAATTTTTCTGTTTTCTCTATGTTGAGAAGGTACTGAATTTCTTGGAAATGTACTGAAAAAGTACTGTAAAAGCACTGCTTTTTGGCCATCCTATTTCAGTAGACACCCTGGCGGCGTTGAGTAACCTTTGGCTCGGTAAGCTCCAGTTATATAATTCTGTTTCGAAACTATTTTAGTAAACCCTTAAGAGCATTTTTTTTTCTCCCCTTTTCCCCCTTTCCTCCTTTTTCCTTCTCTATTTTTTTAATTTTTTTGGCCCAGGATCCGCCACTATCTCAGTAAATATTTATTTTTTAAGAAAGGTTTGTGTTTTACTTCCTATATTAATGAGAAGTAACACAAAAACACAAATATTATTATCAGCGTGCAAGTCAAAATTCTTCCATGGTTTAGTGACCCATTGCGAAGAAACTTCTCTAGAATCTTGGAAGAAAAATACTCTCAAAATTTTGTCAGAAATTCGTAATTTGTGTAAGGAAATTTGACAACGTCCAAAGGCTTATACGGTGTTCTTCCTTAGCTTGACAGATTACCACTCCTCGCTAGCTGTATCGTAGATACCGTATCGGATTCACCTCCATAATGTTCCGATGCGGCCTTGCCGCGAACGCCGAGCGCGCGCGAAATTAATTGCCCGTGCAAGATGTCATAAATTGACCCTAGTCTGACAGACCCAGGTCTCGAGGACCCAGTTCAACTCAACGAGGTCGTAAGTAATAGTCCCAAGGAAGAAGATATCATATCCGAAGAAGAGGAGAGAAAAGTAGAATGGGCGGAAATTAGAAGTAGTATTTTAAATTATAATAAGCTTATTTTTTGTTTTAAAAGAGATACCTTAAAATCTGAGGCTACTTACTCTTTTGATAAAAATTAACGTAAGTGTGATTACTTTGGAAAAAAGAAGTGGGGGAAAAATGACCAAGTTGAAGCTTCTTTAACAGTTATTACTTTTTATAAGCTGTCAGCTTATATCTATTAATTACATTTTTATTTTTATGAGTATACTTACGGGAGTTATTGGCATATGTTACACTGACGTCAGATTTTCCAGTTTTGAGCATTAATGTGCAGTATAATCTTAAAATCTTCTACTCTTTGAAGCATTTTACTATTTAGTTTAAAGTATATTTTCTTTAAAGAAAATAAAATAAAAAAAGGTGCAATCCATTTAAGAGCTCTAGTAGAGTAGATACGCCGCGTTTTTTTTCATTTTCGAAATTTCCTCCATAGATTTTTCTATTGATTTATGACTTCAAATCTAGTCGTTAAAATGCAGTCAATTGGAGAAGTCCTTTATTTCGGACCATCATGAAAGTTGTGTATTAAAAGAGAGAGTAGAATGATACAAAAATCGTACAGCCTGCGCAGCACGCCACAAAAAGCGCGCGATGTCAGAATCAACACCTCGATACAACTATTCGCACTCCATGGATGTCCGTGTTACATAGTCAAAAAATTGAAGGCGCACTAGCTTTCCTTGCGCTTGCGGCTTGCGCTCACAAGTGTAATGTGCATGAGGTACCGATACGGCGCTATAATGCAACTATTCGTACTCTATGGATGGCCGTGTTGCATAAGTAAAATATTGAAGGCGCTCTTACTTTTTTTTCCGCCCTCGCTGTAATAACGAACCCGCATCATTGAATAACAACGCGGGGATGCAACTATGGAGGAATGATAGACTCCGATTCCTCCTCCTCCACCTTTTCATCTTTCTCTTCTCTCTCCTTTCCTTCATCCTCCTCGTCTGCTCCTTCTCTTCATTCTCTTCTTTTTGTTGTTATACTTCATCTCCCTTTTCTTCTTCCTCTTCTCGTCTTCTTCTTCTTTTTTGTTCTTTCTCCATGAAGGCTCATAGTGTAAAATGTACCCGTGCATCAATTGGATCGCATTTCGAAGAAAGAAATTAGCGCAATTGCAGTGTTGTTAAAATGTTGCTTTTTATAGAATTCTAAAAAAGTCTCCCAAAATAGCAAATAGCTTTATTACATCCCACCAAAAATTGTTAATCTGAAGGGAAATTATTGTGTAAATTGTAATTTATGTAGATTTTGAAAGCACAGTAGTCACGCAAGTTCCTTTCTGCTAAATGCGATCCAATTAGGAAACACTACTTCCTGTCTTCGTTCGCAAGACACAAGAACGTTTGTGCGTTGTGACACACTAAGAAATGTTCTCGATAAGCAGCTTAAATGTCGGAGAACGCAAACAACTGGTTGCAAATTGCAAGTTCTTTTTTTTTTTTTTTTTTTTTTTTTTTTTTTTATCGATATCAGTTTCGTTTTGTTAAAGATTGCCGGTTTCGAAACGCATCTCAGAAAACGCGACAAGGATCGTGGCAGTACACGAGGGAGAGAATCGATCCGAGGAAAGCATGAATAATCTCATCTCCGTTCGTTCAATCCAAAACCGTCCGAGCACCCGATGCAGTAATGGACGATTGGGAAAAGCGCTTTGCATAGAGTATGGCATAGGTTGCCAACCGCATTCATTTGTTGCATTATGAATGCAGTGAAAGACAACGCTATAGTAGCGCAATCCGTAAAATAGCTCGGAAGAGAAAAAAAAACACGAAATTTTTACGAGTTCAAAAGTTGCGAATAAATAAAAAAAACCTCGCGAATAAGTCGTAACTTATTAGAGTTTTTTAAGAATATGTAAAGTGTATGATATTGGCATCTTGAACACCACAGATATTCTTGGAGTATGAAGTTGCTTATCCGCTTTATCATTTATGTTGCGGGGTCGTTGCCACTGCGAGCGCGAAAAAAAGTAAGAGCGCCTTCAATATTTTACTTATGCAACACGGACATCCATAGAGTACGAATAGTTGTATTATAGCGCCGTATTAGTAACATATGCACATTACACTTGTAAGCCGCAAGCGCAAGGAAAGCTAGTGCGCCTTCAAGTTTTTGACTATGCAACACGGACATCCATAGAGTACGAATAGTTGTATCAAAGCGTTGATTTTAATAGCTTCGCCCACTTGTCATGGAGCGGCGCGTGATTGTCGGCTCAAATAGATAGTATTGTGGTATTATTGGGGTTCAAGCTTCATGCTTATTTCTGTGACTATTTTGAAGTAAGTCTATCATTTCTATATCATTCTACTACCTACTGCAATGAACAACTTTAATGGTGCTCAGAAATAAAGGATGACTCTAATTGATCTGTAGTTGACCGTAATTAAACAACTAAATCTGATGTCATTCATCGATAAATATCATCCATCTTGGAAGTTTTATAAATTAAAATCAACGCGTTTCTACTCTTCTAATAGACTACCTTTTTCTTGAGTCTACTCTTTTTAATGAATTATACAATTGTTTTATTCAATAAGTTAAAAATCTTGCTGTAAAGAATAGAAGACTCTAAATTTTAAGTACTCATTAATTCTAACACTGGAAATCTGTCGTCACTGTATCATTTGTTCATGTATTTTTTTGTTTATTGTAAGCATACTCGTAAAAATAAAAATTTAATAAATAGATAAAAGCGGATGGCCGTTCAGCAGTTACAATAACGATAAAAGAAGGCATAGCTCAAAAATGGAAAACAACGGAAAAATACGTCCCTTATCGCTAGATTCCATGTCTTCATTAACATCAACATTGCTTCTTCATCAAACAAATAAGGATAAAATTACAGACATTTTCAGCAATCTTCACTGAATAATTCTCAGGGCAAAGAAGACCTGAGGACGAATCAAGTTAGAAACAACCTAAGTGCATTGCACGCTCTTCTGTCGTTGACTGTCGTTTACCAAAAAACTAATCAGTGCAACGGTTTGAAACTTTCAGTGAATTTTTGGTAGATTGCACATAATATGTTCGCAAAATTTCAAGTCAGAATTTCGCTTAGTTTTCTTGTCGAAAAAATAAAGCATTAGAGCAGATAAGGCGACATCTGGTGCGTATAATGCTCTTCCTCGTAAAAACCGTCGAAATATCATTAAAATTCAAAATTGCCACTATTAGATGGCATTGTTTTCCTCTGGAAAATTAAAGCTATTAAGGCAGCTAAAGTAGCAGGCAGCGAACCCACCGTTTCATTTAAGTTCAATCCCCAGCTTTTAATCACTGTGATTTAGCAGCGTTGTGCTTGCGCAATTCTCCCCGGCGATGAAGCTAACCTGATTGATTGACGCCATTAGTGATGGATGATAGAGACGAAGCGTCAGTGATCGATTATCGATATTTCCCCGTTTAAAGTTATGGTAAAGAATCGATTAG